AGGGTTAAAGTGAGCTCAGGCTGCTCCTCCCTGTCCAGGGCTCTGTCCAGCACCAGCTCTGGGTATTTCCTGCCATCAGCACGACTGTGAGTAACGACATGGAAGTGGAGGTTGGGGCTGACTGTGTAGTTCTGAACAGCATTGCTGCCTATGTCAGGGTCCTGAGCTGCCTTCAGAGGAAACACAGACCCTGGCTGGACGTTCTCTGGGATCTTTAGGAGCATTTCCCTGTGCGGGAACTCTGGAGAATGGTCGTTTATGTCTGTGAGCTGCAGGTCAGTTTGGAAGAACTGCACAGGGTTTTCCAGTATGAGCTGGAAGTGGAGCATACAGGGTTCTGTCGCCCCACACAGCTCCTCGCGGTTTAGTTTTTCCTTCAAGAACAAATTCCCTGTCTCTGCATCCAGTTGCAAGAGCTCTTTGTTTCCTTTGTAATGGATTTGCGCCCCTCTGGTGGCCAGTTCCCCCACCTTGAGCCCCAAATCTTTTTCCAGATTAGCCACCAGGTAGCCAGTCTCCATTTCTTCTGGCATGGAGTACCTAATTGCCTCAGAACCAGCCTCCCACAAAAGCAACAATATAGTAAGAAAAACGACTTGCCTTTTCTCTGGTGATTTTGCTAGAGCTGTCTCCATTGTTCAGATGTAGTCCAGAGGGTGCTGCTTCTTCAAGTCGATTACAGTCCACTAATGGGGGGTTCGTAAAAATATTGAACTAAATCTGATTAAAAAGACGCCTTCATCCCAAATTCTCCAGACACCTTTCCTATTACCTTCTCCCTCAAACAGCCGCCAAAGTACTGGTTCACAGATTAAAGAGATGGCGTCCTGGGCGGCTGCAGAGCTCATTCTTCAGAATCTTAGCCTGCAGCGCCACCAAGCGTCCTTATTTGTTCATGCATTTCATTTTCAAATTTGTTTCCAAATTTGAACTGTGATGTGGTTCAATATCCTTTTAATTACACACGCAGCCTAAACTGTAAGTTCAGTTCTTAACAATTGGAAATTCTAAATATGATTTTTTTCCTGAATTATGTTTTGGTTGTAAGTATAAATTTTAGAACAACTTAAGATGGCATTAACGTTTTGTCATAAGAGTACCAAGTAGATGAATCAGGTTTCTTGTGTAGATTTATAATTTGATTGTGTGCAAGAAACTAAAGAAAATAGGTGCATAGAGAAATTAATTTATACTTTTTATAGATGTTTGTAATATAACATACACCCAGAAAGGGACAAAATCTTAATTGTATAACCTATTGAGCTTTTATAATGTTTTTTTTAGTTCAGTTTAGATAAAAATAAAATAGGCAAAAGTCCAAGATAACCAAGACTGCTATTGTTTGGTTACTTTGTTCCTTGAAAAGATAAGCATTTTGCATGTGTAGTGTACTAAGACCACCAAAGCATGAGCGTTCCAGTTGCTTCATATCCCTGTTAACATTAGTGTTGTAGTCTCAGTTTTGGTGTTTGTCTGGTGACTTCACACCTAAATTCAACTAGCATTTGTCTGCACACTTTCATGTTGACTGACATCAGGATAGAGTCTTGGGAGGAGCATGTTTATTTCTGATATGGGGCTTCTATTTGTTTGCTTGTTGGTATGAAGAAGTATTTTGTATAATCTGTGTAATCTTTTTCAGATATAAATGCTTAAATATTTCCCACACCATGCCTTGAATTTTGTTGATATTGTGACTTGATCAATAAAACATCTTGTTTAGTTTGATTTGGCAATACATTTTAAAAATTTGTTTAGTACTTTTAAATTTTCTTAATTTCAAGATACCATATGTGTGTATTTTGAATGTTTTCTTTTGCTGTATAAACCTATTGATTTAAAATATGTGTTGGATGAATTAAGTTGGAGCTCTTGATTTCCTTTACAACATGTTGCAAACAGATGCACCCTCTTCTGATGGCTATCGCTGTCCTGAATCAGGGCGGTTGCAGGTCTACCCCAGTGCTCCAGTTTCTCTCCGATGGTCACGTAACACTCTGTTGTCTTCATTACTCCAGAGATGAAAGTCTCCTGAAGTATGTTTATTTTTAATGTATATGTGAATAAATGTCAAAAGAGTGTGAATGTCCTTGAAGCGGTGTTGGCTCTCTGAGAGCTGGAGGGAAGGCAGCTGTAACCCCTCGACAAGAGGAGCTGCTGAAAACCGGACTGAGATCCACTTGATCTTAACTGCTGAGCCATCTCTTCAAGAATTAAAAGATTTGTCTTGCAATAATTTCATGTGTTTCATATAGACATGCATTCCATCCATTAATTCTGTATCCCTTTATATTTCCGTGAACTTTTAGCATTCATGTAGCTTTATGAAATATATGTTTTTGTTACAGAATTGACATTGAGTCTTAAATAACAATTGTCTATTTATTTGCTCAGTCATCCCTTTTTTCAAAAATATTAACCATTTTATTTTGATGACATTGTTGTTTTATTCTAGCAATGCATCTTCTAGATCATTGTGTTATGTTTTCTCCTCTTGGTCTTCTTTATATTGCCCAGTTTTGTGATGTACACCTACTGATTGTTGGTATGATGTAAAGTCCACCCACAATCAGGATGCTCCAGGAGGAGCTCACCCTTTGCTCTTGGTTTGACAGAGCTCTACCTCCTACAGTCACGCCAACTCAAACAGGCACCAAACTTGGTCAGGATCCTCTGATGTCCTTAAAAGCAAGTAATTTGGGCAAATTTCAAGTTACAAACATGAATTCTCTGCATCAGCTCTGCCAGGTGGTTCCCAACCTATAATCATTGTAGTTTGTACAAAATCTCATTCTGCCTTCAAAGGGTTTCCAAATTATTTTTTGTCTTCTTTCCTGGACTTCTGAGTTGACAAGTGTCCTGGGCAGGAAAACTGACCCTAGCTCAAGTTTTCCGTGCTGTCAGAGGCTACTTAGTTATAGTGGCTATGTAAAAAACCTGTTGATTATTAGTCAGTTTTATGGTTGTTTTTCTGATGTCAGATAATCCATCTAGGCTGGAGGGAATTCTACGAAGCATATGCATAATCTTTAACTTCATATTTTAAAATATTGGACTTTTTGTAATATTCAACCATGAAGGAAGAGGGATATATTTTTTTCTTCCTAATGCTGGGGAGATTGAACCTATTAGGCAAATGTCCTACTGTTGGGCTACAACAACAGAATTTGGCTTCTTTTAGTTCAGGCTGGCATCTTGAGTACTGGATACTTAGTTCAGGCTGGTATGCTGAGAACTGGACACTTAGTTCAAGCTGGTATCCTGAGTAACGGGTACCACACCACAAGAGGCATCTTGGCACGTAACTGGCAGATTGTTAAAGTTGTTTGCCATATTGAGACTTACATATTTGTTTGTATTTACTTTTTCTTACTTTTACCTAAAATTGGATAACCAAAATTACATTTCAAGGATAAGGGGTGGTCATTGATTTTCATTCTATATTTCATTACTTCATTATGGGAGGGAACACTAATTCAGGGAAAGATGCAAACACTTAAACTCTATGGGAATGACATTGGATATTTAAAAACAAACAAAATATAAACATGATCAATCTGTATACATTTGTTACATGCATGGAAAATTTATAAGGGAATCCATCGCTTTGTACAATGAATATATACTAAATAAAAAGCAAAACATGTAAAGATATTATATTGTATACCAAATTCTTCACTTGTTCATATTTTGGAGAAAGCTAAATAATCCTGCAATTGTATTTTTTTGGAAATCACATAATAAGCTTACTTGATTCATTTAATATAAGTTAATTATAATTCAGCTTAATTCATTACAGTTCAAATCAATTAAGAACCAAAATAGGCAGCACAATTGAAACATTAAATTGACTGAGGATACCTCATGGTTACACCAGATAACCAAACAAGTGATAATTAAATATCACAAAAAGAACTGTTTTGCTTTCCATAGCTACCAAACAATATAAAATGAAAAGTATCAGAACTGACAACCAGAACCAAATAAAATACTGAAATTCCCAGAGTCTTTTGAAAGGGGAAGAGGAGCTGCAGGAAAACCAGAGGAAACGTATGTTCCAGAGACAGGGCCACAGTGGAGAGCTTAGAATGCACAAGTCTCTGAGTGTGGTTTCTGATATGATTTAACCGTGCATGCTGTCTGAGGTACATTTCCTATTTCTAGGGTAAAGTAGGAAGGGTTTTGGCAGGAAGAGGAGAGCAAAGAAGGCTTGTGCTCAGACCACTTTCTTCTCTTCATACAGTCCAGAATCTTAGCCTAGGAAGTGGTGCCACCCACCATGGTCTTTCTCCTCAATTTCCCTAAGCACGATACTCCTCCATAGGTGTGCCCAGAGGTCAGGTGGATCTAGACCTCAAGGTCACAGCTGAGATGAACAGAAAACCCCATAGCGCTCCATTTACACTTTTATTACTAAGACAAAGGGATAAAGTGAGATCATCAAAAGTCTTGATTCTTTGGAGGACCCAAGTGCTTACTTGTACTATTCAGATTAGGTTTCAAAGGCTATTGTGTCAAGCAATGATTTAATAGGTGGGGTTATTTGTCTTTGTGTTTGTTCCTTTCTGGAACCTGGAAGTGCACCTAGAGCCTGGCATGCATGCATGGTCTACCATGGATTATACCCTCAGTCTGGAATACTTTTGTTTTGTGATAAAGGTGGCAAATCATTAATATATAAGGTTATCCCTTTAATAGTTACAAAAGAATAGTTAAGGGCTGGAGAGATGACTCAGAGGTTAAGAGCACTGGCTGCTCTTCTAGAGGTCCTGAGTTCAATTCCCAGCAACCATATGGTGGCTCACAACCATCTGTATTGAGATCTTGCGCCTTCCTCTGGCAAGCGGGCATACATCGAGGCAGAATGTTGTATACATAATAAATAAATAAATCTTTAAAAAAAAGAATAGTTAAATGAATATTTATGTAAAATGTGCTAGGTATGTGGTGGACAAATAATACAACATATATGGTCCACAAAAGAAGGAAAATGTCACATTTCTAGTGTCTTGATATTTAACAAGGGAATGTTTATAATTGGAAGAAAACTATGCTTGTTAGTAATAATTATAAGGAATTTCAGCTGTGAGTGAAGCTCACTAACAGACTGGATGATTAGCACATACAAGGTCTTAGATTTAATATCCAATGGCAATAACATAACTCAAAAAACCGTGAACACCTGGGCCATAAAAACTTGAAATTTTGGGGTGAAAACAGTAAAGTAGTCAGCATGCGGGAGACGGAGAGATGAATGTCTAACAGTTGGAGGCTGTCTGAAGTACACAGTGAGTTCTAGGACAGCCAGAGTTACATGGTGAGAACCTGTCTTTAAAAAAGAAAACCAAACAGGCAAAAAAAAAAACCCACTCACACACAAAACAGGGAAAGTGAATTCATTTTGTTGCATAATACTTGAGCTAAAGTTAAACATTAAGGTGAAATATAGAAAAATTTATGTTCTTAATATTCACTATACCTGAAATAACTAAAAAGAGCAAGAAAGAAAAAAAACACATTTTAGCAATGGAGAACATGCATATGTTTCAATACAATGCCAATACTTTGATTAAAGTGACTCATTTTCTTAAGAGAACCATATTGTTAGAGATTTGACAAAAAATAAATTCACTGAACTAGATACAACAGTTAACTGAAGACAAAGCTATCCCTGCAGTGAGGAGTTTCCTTGACTTCTCTCCCAGCATCCTGAAGCAGTAAGTTGGGAATCACGGGTTTGAGAAAATTGAACTCACCAGTCTCAGAGTCTCCAGTCAGACACACCTCATAGTGGTAGCTCTGTGACAGGGTCCCAGCGCCACTGACATCCACCAGGTGTTCAGGAAAGTGTCCCTCAGGCACAGAGCAGCTACCCAGCGAGGCTCCCCCGACCCCCCTGCACATCCTCACTCCTACGAACAGCAGCACAGACAAGAGAAAGAGCGAAGACACAGATGCCAAGGCAATGACAAGGTACAGCGTGAGTCTGTCCTCATTCTCTTGAGCTGGATTGCGCTCCATCTGGGGCAGAGGCAGGTAGGGCTGAGAGAAGCCATCCACCAGCAGCACATGAAGAGTGACACTGGCAGACCGCGGAGGATCGCCATTGTCCTTGACCAGCAGCAGCAGCCTGTGCTTGGGCGCATCGCGCTCACTCAGCAGCCTGGAGGTGCGCACCTCGCCATTGTGAGCCCACACGCTGAACAGTCCAGGCTCCGTGGCCTTGAGCAGTTGAAATGACAGCCAGGCATTCTGTTCTGAGTCGCTGTCTATGGCCACTACCTTGGTGACCAGGTATCCTGGCTCTGCCGCCCTGGGTAGCAGCTCTGTGAAGGGCGCAGAGGCGTTCTGCAGAGGGTAGAGCACGAAGGGCGCATTGTCGTTGGCGTCCAGCACCTGCACGCGCACCAGCGCCTGGCTGCTGAGCGCGGGCGAGCCTTGGTCTGTGGCGCCCACGCGGAACTCGAAGCTCTGCAGGGCCTCATAGTCCAGAGCCCTGAGCGCAAACAACTGCCCATTGTCAGCATTGATAGAGATGAGCGAGGAGAGATCCAGCTGTGGGTCGTGGGTGGGCATCAGTGAGTAGGTGATGTGGGCATTGGAGCCTGAGTCTGAGTCTGTGGCGCTGATGTTGCCTATGTGCAGGGCGGGGCTGTTGTTCTCTTGGATAAACAGGGTGTAGGAGCTTTGTGTGAAAGCGGGGGCGTTGTCGTTGACATCGGACACCTGTACTGTTATGGTGTGCTGGGTTGTGAGTTTGGGTGTTCCCATGTCGCTGACTGTGATGGTGATGTTGTACTCAGATCTGCTCTCTCGGTCCAGTGGCCCCTCTGTCACTAAAGTGTAATAGTTCTCGAATGTGGGCTTCAAAAGAAATGGGAGATCGTTCTGAATAGAACACACCATTCTTCCATTGTCTCCGGAATCTGCGTCAGAAACACTGAAAACAGCAACTACAGTCTCCGGGGAGTTTTCTGGGATAGGGATTGTGAGCTTTCTGATAGTCAGCTCAGGGGCGTTGTCATTCACATCCAACACCTGCACAGCCACAGTGCATTTCCCCGAAAGGCCTCCTCCATCCGTGGCTGCGATTTCTATGTTATACTGGCTAGTAACCTCGAAATCCAACTCTTCCCTCAGACGAATTTCTCCAGTGACTTTGTCTATTACAAATGGCAGAGAAACCCCACTGCCTTGAAACAGAGAGTAGACTACCTTCCCATATATCCCAGCATCCAAATCCCTGGCAGACACCGTCAAAACTAAGGCATTAAGGGGGCTGTTCTCAGGGACTTGAACCTCATAGAGCGACTGTACAAACTGGGGAGCATTATCATTGATGTCCACGACTTCAATGCGAACTGTGGTGGTCCCAGACCTGGGTGGAGACCCACCGTCCACAGCAGTGAGGGTTAAAGTGAGCTCAGGCTGCTCCTCCCTGTCCAGGGCTCTGTCCAGCACCAGCTCTGGGTATTTCCTGCCATCAGCACGACTGTGAGTAACGACATGGAAGTGGAGGTTGGGGCTGACTGTGTAGTTCTGAACAGCATTGCTGCCTATGTCAGGGTCCTGAGCCGCTTTCAGAGGAAACACAGTCCCTGGCTGGGCGCTCTCAGGAATTGTTAGGAGCATTTCCCTGTTCGGGAACTCTGGAGAATGGTCATTTATGTCTGTGAGCTGCAGGTCAGTTTGGAAGAACTGCACAGGGTTTTCCAGTATGAGCTGGAAGTGCAGCACACAGGGTTCTGTAGCCCCACACAGCTCCTCGCGGTCTAGTTTTTCCTTCAAGAACAAATTCCCTGTCTCTGCATCCAGCTGCAAGAGCTCTTTGTTTCCTTTGTAATGGATTTGTGCCCCTCTGGTGGCCAGTTCCCCCACCTTGAGCCCCAGATCTTTTTCAAGGTTAGACATCATGTAGCCAGTCTCCATTTCTTCTGGCATGGAATATCTTATTGTCTTACAGTCAGCCTCCCACAAAAGCAACAGCATAGTAAGAAAAACGACTTGCCTTTTCACTGGTGATTTTGCTAGAGCTGTCTCCATTGTTCAGATGTAGTTCATAGGGTGCTGCTTCTTCAGGTCAATTACAATCCACTCACGAGCGTTTGTGAAAATATTGAACTAAGTCTGATTAGAGAGACCCCTTCTTCCCAAATTCTCCCAGAAACCTTTCTTGATACCTTCTCTTTCGAACAGCCGCCAAAGAACTGGTTCTTTGCCTAAGGAGATGGCGTCCTGGGCGCCTGCAGAGCCAATTCTTCAGACTCTTAGCCTGCAGCGCCACCAAGCGTCCTTATTTGTTTGTGCATTTCAATTTGCCATTTCTTTCCAAATTTTAACTGCAAGTGTTTCAGTATTCTTTTAATTTACACATAGATATAATTTAATTCATAATTTTGTATATGTTTCTGATATTTGGCTTCTATTTGTTTGCCTGTTGGTCTGAAGAAATACCCTGTATATTCTGGATAATCTCTTTTCCAGATAGATATGCTCAAATATTTCCCACTCAATGCCTTGCATTTCGTTGATATTGTGGTTTGATCAATAAAACACTTTAATTGTGTTTAATTTGACCTGTTAATAATTTTCAAATTTGTTTAGTACTTTTAAATTTTCATAATTTAAGGTCATAAGAATAATGTGTATATTTTGAATATTTTCTTTTGGCATTTATATACTTATTCACTTCAAATATGTTTTGAATGAACTAAATTGGAGTTCTTGGTTTCCAAATGCCTTTATACCGTGTTCCAAACAGACGCACTCCCTTCTGAGGGGTGATCACTGTCTTGAGTCACAGTGGTTGCAGGTCTGCCCCAGTGTTCCTGTTTCTCTCTGGTGGTTATGTCTTCATTACTCTAGACTTACCATGGATTTTATTGAGATGAAAGTCTCCATTTTGAAAAGAAGTCTATTTTTAATGAGTAGTTTTAAAATCACATAAATGACTTGGAAATGCAGAGATTCCTCTCCACATCATGTGTATCCTTCCTCCCTATAGGTACCCCATCAGACTGGCATGCTTCTTGCAGTTGATGATCCTACATTTACACCACTGAGCCCATATTTTAAATTAAGGCTCCTACTTGGTGCTATACAGTGTGTAGCCATGGATAAATTTAATCACACAACATATATTTTTAGCATATCATAGTTTCATTGTCTCTTCCCACCCCCTGCCCATCCCCTAAATCTATCTATCTCTATCCTGTCTCATTAGAAGACCTGGAAATCACTTATAGTTTTCCTTCCTCCATAGTCAGAATTTTACAGAATTGGTTTTTTTTATCTTAGTGACTCTGACTTACAAATGTGCACTTAGGTTTCTTAATGGCCTTCTATAGGTTGATAGCTCATTTCTTCTTGTTGAACAACAATCTCCTTTGTGGATCCTCATAGAAACAGATGAGTGTAGAATCCACTGAAATTAGACTTACAGGTTGTTTTGTTGGACCACAAGCTGGGTCTTCTGGAAAAGCAGCAAGGTGTTTTAACCACGGAGATACCTCTCATACCTTTATTTTCTATGTTTTAAAAAGATTTTTTTTTATTGATTCTGTGTTTGTGTGATGTGTGTATACTTCAGGAGAGTGTGAATGTGCTTGCAGAGGGTGTTGGGTCCCTCTGAGCTGGGGTGAAGGCAGTAGGTGTTGGGGAGGCTGCTGAAAACTGATCTGAGATCCACTTGATCTTAACTGTGTGCTGTTGCTTTAAGTCTTTTTAAAAAGAAAAATCTGTATTTGTTTAAGGTTTCTCATATTGACATGCATTGTATCCATTAATTCTGTATTTCATTATTTCTATGATGTTTTACTATTTATATAGCTTTGTGACATATAATTTTTAATGAAACTGACTTTTGATCTTAAGCTCCATTTTCTTATAAAATTTCTATTTATTTGCTCAGTCATTCCTTGTTTCAAAGATTTAACCATTTTATTTTGGTTATTATCTTGACATTGTAGTTTTATTCTAGCACTGGCATCTTCTAGGTCGGGACTGTGTAAAGTCCGCCCACAATCAGGATGCTCTTATCCTCTTCCAGGAGGAGCTCACCCTTTGCTCTTGGTTTGACAGAGCTCTACCTCCTACAGTCACGCCAACTCAAACAGGCACCAAACTTGGTCAGGATTCTCTGATGTCCTTAAAAGCAAGTAATTTGGGCAAATTTCAAGTTACAAGCGTGAATTCTCTACATCAACTCTGCCAGGCAGTTCCCAACCTATGCTCTTGGTAGTTTGTACAAAATCTCACTCTGCCTTCAGAGGGTTTTCAAATTACCTTTTCAGTCTTCTTTCCTGGACTTCTGAGTTGACAAGTGTCCTGGGCAGGAAAACTGACCCTAGCTCAAGTTTTCCGTGCTATCAGAGGCTACTTAATTGTGGTGTCTGTGTCAAAAACCTGTTGATTATCTTTTAAGCAAACTGTCTGTAGGACTCGGTTCTCATAGAAGTGACTTTCTGTTGCACTGACATAATAATTTCTGTCCTTTAGTCAGCTTCATGGTTGTTTCTCTGATGTCAGATAATCCATCTAAGACAGAGGGAAATTCTACCATATTATGCATAATATATAACTTCGTACTTTAAAATATATAAAATTTTGTAACCTTTGATCATGAAGGAAGGAGGATATATTTTTTTCTTCTTAATTCTGGGGAGATTGAACCCAGAGACTCGAATCTTTAGGCAAAAGTTCTACTGTTGGGCTACAACAAGAGAGCTTAGCTTCTTTTTCTTCAGGCTGGCATCCTGAGGACCCAAAGAGGCATTTGGCACATAATGGGCAAGTCATTAGAGCTGTCTGCCCTATTTAAGTTTGCATCTACTTTTCTCACTTTTACCTCTTTCTCACTTCCATTTTAAAATCGAATAACCAAAAATTACATTTCATCTATAAGGAATGATCATCCGTTTTTGTTTTATATTTCCTCACTTCCTTATGGGAGGAATCATTAATTCAGGGAAAGGTGTAAATAATTGAACTCCAGATGACACTTGAGATTTAGAAACACAAATGATAAGTGTGATCAATGTGTATACATTATGTACATGCATAAAATTCATAAGGAAATCCATTGCTTTGTACAGGAAAATATACTAGCTAAAAAGTAAAACATAAAAATAAAAATTATTCATACTGCCAAAATTTCAATAAAGCTTTCCTTCAGTTGTATCCATACAAATTTACCTTGCTAGCAATCACATAATAAGATGATCAGAACTGACAGCCAGAATCAAATATAATATTGAAATTTCCAGAAATTTCCAGAATCTCTTGAAAGGGCAGGAGGAGCTGTGGGAAAAACCAAAGGAAACATATGTACTAATGTAAACTAGAGACAGGGCCACAGCTTAGAACGCACAAGTCTCTGAGTGCGGGACATGATACCATGAAATCATGTAGGCTGCTTTAGTTACTGTTCCTATTTCTAGGATAAAGTAGGAAGGGTTTTGGCTCACAGTTCAAGATTACACTAAGACGAGGAAGGTGAAAACCGGGGTCTTGAACAACTGGTCACACTGCATCTCCAGGCTGGAAGAAGAGAGCAAGGAAGGCTCAGCCCACTTTCTCCTCTTCATACAGTCCAGGATTGCAGCCCAGGGAATGATGCCACACAAATGGTCTTCCCGCCTCAATTAACCTCAGCACAATAATCCTCCATAGCATGCCCAGAGGTCAGGTGGGTATAGATCTCAAGTTCACAGCTGGGATTAACAGAAAACCCACAAAAACTTCACTTACACTTTTATTTCTAGAACAAAAAAGATAATATGAGACCATCAAACATCTGGATTCTTTGGGGAATTTTGGTGGTTACTTCTGTTGCTCAAATTAATTTTTTAACAGTATTGTGTCAAGCAATCATTTAACAGGGACTAGCATGCATATGTGATCTACTACTGATTCTACCTTCAGTCTCAAACACTTTCCTTTAGTGATAGAGGTGGCAAATAAAGAATAATAAGGTTATCCCTTTAATATTTACAAATGAGATTGCTAAAATTAATATTTATAAAACAAAGTGCTAGGTATGTGATGGCCAAGTAATGTAGACAATCTCCAACTTATGTCCTCCACCGAAGAAGAAAAATGTCACACTTCTAGTGTCTTAATATTTAGTACAGAGAATGGCTATAATTTGGAAGACAAGTATGCAAATTGTTATGCTCATGGTGACTCAGGGCAACTGTCAGGAACTTCAACCATGAGTGATGCTCACTACCTAAATGTATGGTTAATGTAAGAGGTCCTCTATTTAATAACCAATAGCAACAAAAAAAAAGGGAAAATAGCTACAAAAACTTGAAATTTTGTGGTAAAAAAACAGTAAAGTAGTTGGCATTTGGAAGACGGAGAGGGATGGATGTCTACCAGTGTGCCGCCAACCTGGTCTACATAGTGATTTCTAGGATAGCCAGGGTTACTTAGAGAGACCCTGCCTGAAAACAAAAACCAAGAAGAACTAAACTGAACTTTAAAAAACCCCAAAGCAGGTGAAGTAAAATACCTTTTGTGATCTAATACTTGATCTAAAGTAAAATATATGTTGAAATATGGAGAAATTGTGTTCCTAATACTTATTATACCTGAAACTACTAACTACAATAGATATCAAGAAAGAAAAAAACCCACCGTTTTCATAAATGAGTAAATGTATATGCTTTGATTACAGTACCAATACAATATAATTCACTCAATTTTGCAGTAGATTTGGTAAAAATAAATCCCCCTAACCAAATACAACAGCTAACTGAATATAAAGCTCTCCCTGCAGTGGGGACTTTCCTTACTTTCTCTCCCAGGATCCTGAGGCAACAGCTGGGGGAACATAGGATTGAGGAATTTGAACTCACCAGTTCCAGAATCCCCAGTCAGACACACCTCATACTGGTAGCTCTGTGACAGGGTTCCCGTGCCGCTGACATCCACCAAGTGGCCAGGAAAGTGTCCCTCAGGCACAGAGCAGGCACCCAGAGACGCCGCCCTGGCCCTCCTGCACAGCCTCACCCCCACAAACAGCAGCACAGACAAGAGGAAGACCGAAGACACGGATGCCAAGGCGATAACCAGGTATAGCGTGAGCGCATCCTCATCTTGGGCGGGGTCGCGCACCACCTCAGGCAGAGGCAGGAAGGGCTGAGAGAAGCCATCCACCAGCAGCACATGCAGAGTGACACTGGCAGAGCGCTGAGGATCGCCATTGTCCTTGACCAGCAGCAGCAGCCTGTGCTTGGGTGCATCGCGCTCACTCAGCAGCCTGGAGGTGCGCACCTCGCCATTGTGAGCCCACACGCTGAACAGTCCTGGCTCCGTGGCCTTGAGCAGCTGAAACGACAACCAGGCATTCTGGCCAGAGTCGAGGTCCACCGCCACCACCTTGGTGACCAGGTAGCCAGGCTCTGCCGCCCTGGGCAGCAGCTCTGTGAAGGGCATAGAGACGTTCTGCAGAGGGTAGAGCACGAAGGGTGCATTGTCGTTGGCGTCCAGCACCAGCACGCGCACCAGCGCCTGACTGCTGAGCACAGGCGAGCCTTGATCTGTTGCCCCCACGAGGAACTCGAAGCTCTTCAGGGCCTCATAGTCAAGCGCCCTGAGCGCGAACATCTGTCCATTGTCGGCATTGATGGAGATGAGCGAGGAGAGGTCCAGCTGCGCGTCGTGGGTAGGCATCAGCGAGTAGGTGATGTGGGCATTGGAGCCTGAGTCTGAGTCTGTGGCGCTGATGGTGCCTATGTGCAGGGCGGGGCTGTTGTTCTCTTCAACAAACAGGGTGTAGGAGCTTTGAGTGAAGGCGGGGGCGTTGTCGTTGACGTCAGACACCTGCACTGTTATGGTGTGCTGGGTTGTGAGCCTGGGTGTGCCCATGTCGCTGACTGTGATTGTGATGTTATACTCAGCTCTGCTCTCTCTGTCCAGTGGCCCCTCTGTCACTAAAGTGTAATAGTTCTCGAATGTGGGTTTCAAAAGAAATGGGAGATCGTTCTGAATAGAACACACCATTCTTCCATTGTCCCCAGAATCTGGATCAGAAACACTGAAAACAGCAACTACAGCTTCAGGAGCATTTTCTGGGATTGAACTAGTGAGCGAAGATATGGTGAGTTTAGGGGCGTTGTCATTCACATCCAACACCTGTATAGCTACACTGCATTTTCCTGAAAAGCCACCGCTGTCTGTTGCTACAATTTCCATGTTATAATAGGGAGTTGCCTCAAAATCCAATGGCATTTTAAGGCGAATTTCTCCTGTGACCTCGTCTATAACAAATGGCAGAGAAGCTCCACCACCTTGAAACAGAGAGTAGGCTACACTCCCATGAAGTCCCACATCTAAATCCCTGGCAGAAACTGCCACAACTAACGCACCAAGGGGGCTGTTCTCAGGAATCTGAACCTCATAGAGCGACTGTACAAACTGGGGAGCATTATCATTGATGTCCACGACTTCAATGCGAACTGTGGTGGTCCCAGACCTGGGAGGTGACCCACCATCCACAGCAGTGAGGGTTAAAGTGAGCTCAGGCTGCTCCTCCCTGTCCAGGGCTCTGTCTAGCACCAGCTCTGGGTATTTCCTGCCATCAGCACGACTGTGAGTAACGACATGGAAGTGGAGGTTGGGGCTGACTGTGTAGTTCTGAACAGCATTGCTTCCTATGTCAGGGTCCTGAGCCGCCTTCAGAGGAAACACAGTCCCTGGCTGGGCGCTCTCCGGGATCTTTAGGAGCATTTCCCTGTGCGGGAACTCTGGAGAATGGTCGTTTATGTCTGTGAGCTGCAGGTCAGTTTGGAAGAACTGCACAGGGTTTTCCAGTATGAGCTGGAAGCGCAGCACACAGGGTTCTGTCGCCCCACACAGCTCCTCGCGGTCTAGTTTTTCCTTCAGGAGCAAATTCCCGGTTTCAGCATCCATTTGCAAGAGCTCTTTGTTTCCTCTATGATGGATTCGCGCCCCTCTAGTGGTCAGTTCTGCTACCCCGAGCCCCAAATCTTTTGCCAGATTAGCCAGCAAATATCCACTCTTGGTTTCTTCTGGCATGGAATATCTAATTGCCTCAGAACCAGCCTCCCACAAAAGCAACAACATAACAATAAAAACGACTTGCCTTTTCTCTGGCGTTTTTGCTAGAGCTGCCTCCATTGTTCAGATGCAGTCCAGAAGGTGCTGCTTCTTCAATTTGGTTTCAATCCAGAGATAGTTTGGTGAATAAGCTCGAATTAAATCTTCTTTAATGTCTTACCAACCCCGGGGATTTCTCCTCTAGTTGACACTTAAATATCTTCTCCTTCCGGGGAGCAGACAGCGTTCTGATTTTCAGCTCACTCTTTTGTTTTCCTGGGTATTTGCCGATACCGTCATTCTCACTCTTAGTCGATGGCGCCACCAAGTGTTCATTTTCATGATTGCATATAGTTGTCATCCTAAATTCTAAGCCTGCTTTTGAGACACAGGTGTTTCTCCTGATACCGTGTATGTCAACTCCTAAATATTGGCGGTGTAAACCTACCTTTGCTAAGCTACTATCAAGTGAATGTATATTTATAATATAGTATCTTAATATGATATAGTAATCTTAATAAAATTCTTCTGAAAGCATGAAAAACCTTGAATATTTTATTAATTGTATACAGAAAAAATGAATTTTACAAAATTTAATTTTGTTTAGATATAGAACATACAGACAGAACTGTCACAACCAAAATATTTTCCACAGTTAATATATTTCTATAAGCAGAAACTAAAGAAAAACTAAAATGTCCAAAAACATGCTATGCCCCCTCTGGCCATTATTTTGTGACTAACTCTTTCTATAAGAGCAATATATTGACTGGTATCATTGCACGTTATTCTTTGTTAGACCTTTTATGAGTTGTGTTTTTAGAGTGTTCCTCTGTTGTGCTGGTCATGTGTCGTTCAACGTTAACTATGTGAAGTTCATCTGTGACAGGGTGTCCTAACTAGTTTTCTTTTCATTGTTTTCTGTCGCTCTTCTGTAGGCGTCTGCTTCGATTCCACGTCGGCTCCAGTTGGTGAACTATGTTTGTGTTCAGGTTTGAACATTGTTAAAGAGCAATGCTACCAACATTATTGTACATGTCATTTTGTTGTAATATGTTTTTATTTTGAATGTTTGAATTACTGTGAGTTAAAATGTGATGATACATTGAGACTTAGCCTAGATTGTAAGATTTTTTTCCCAAAAATATAGTCTTACTCTACCAGCCACAGCGGCATGTGTCTGTAATCCCAGCTGTGGTGAGACACAGTATGGAGGTTTGTAAGTTAAAGGGCAGTACATTCCACGTTTCTGAAAAGAAAAAGATCCCAAAGGATAGTGATACATCTCAATTGTAGACCTCTTGTCTGGTATACTCAAGATTGATTAGCAGTATGGTAAAGTTTAAGCAAAAAGCAATGGAATGGGAGTTCTAGGCGCTCTATGGTCTTGTCAACACTTTATGTTATCATTTCAACCACTCTACTGAGCATGTGATGATACTGTAGTGTACGTTTAGTAAGCATTTCTCTAGTGATGAATGAAATTATTCACATTTTCGCATGGACTTTTTTTCATTGTGATGCATTGTTTTGAAAGTAGTATTTAATTATATTATATATATTTTTCTGTTTGGAACATTTGCCTGCAGAAATAATGTTGTGAAGACAGGCATGGCTTTAATCCCAGCTCTTGGGAATCAGAGGATGACAGATCTCTGTGAGTTCGAGGTCAACCTGGTCTACATAGTTTCAGAACAGCCAGAGCTACAAAGTAATGTGGGATTCCACTCTGTATGCTGTGAATATCATTGATTAATAAAGAAACTGACTTGGCCTGATAGGGTAGAACAAAGCTAGGCAGGAAAAACTAAACTGAATGCTGGGAGAAGGAAGGTGGAGTTAAAGAGAAGCCATGGAGCTGCCACCAGAGGCAGACATGCTTAAACTTTGCCAGTAGAAGCTCATGGTAAAATATAATATAAAATAATGGAGATGGGTTAATTCTAGATGTAAGAGCTAGCTAGCAATATGCTTAGGCAATTGCCCATGCAGTGATTTAATTAATACAGTTTCTGTGTGATTATTTCTGGAGTCTGGGCAGCCGGGAAACAAACAAGTGGTCTCCTTACTACAACAAAGAGAGACCCTATCTCAAAAGAAAGGAAAAGAGAGAGGGGGGAAGAGAGTAAGAAGAAAGATGATATATATTGATAGATATATAGATAGATAATAGATAGATAGATAGATAGATAGATAGATAGATAGATTCCTGTGTATTAGTGTAACACTTTTCCAGATACATGTGTTGCAATTTTTATTTTTTAAACAATCTTATTTTACATACCAATCACAGTTCCCTCTCCCTCCCATCCTCCCACTCCCCCACCTTCTTGCCATCCCATACTCCATTCACTCCTCATAGAGGGTGAGGCCTCTAATGGGGAGTCAACAAAGTCTGGCACATCACTTGATCCAGGACCAAGCCCCCTCCCCCCCATATCTAAGGTAAGCAAGGTGTCTATCCACAGGGACTAGACTCCAAAGAGCCAGTTCATGCACTTGGGTTAAATACTGGTCCAACTGCTAGTGGCCCCATAAACTGATCAAGCAACACAACTGTCACCCACATTCAGAGGGCCTAGTTTGGTCTTATGCTGGTTCCCCAGCTGTCAGTCTGAGGTCAGTGGACTCCCATTAGCTCAGGTCAGCTGTTTCTGTGGGTATATCCATCATGGTCTTGGTTCCGTTGCTCATAATATCACTCCTCCTTCTCTGTGACTGGACTCCTGGTCTTTGGTCCAGGAGTGCTTAGCTGTGTATCTCTGCTTCTGCTTCCATCAGTTACTGGACCAACGTTCTATGATAACAATTAAGGTAGTCATCAATCTGATCAGAGGGGAAGGGCAATTATGTACCCTTTCCACTAAGGCTTAGATTCTTAGCTGGAGTCATCCTTGTGTTTTTCTGGAAGTTTCTAGTTTCTTATGAGTGAGTAAATACTGTGTTTGTCTTTCTGGGTCTGAGTTACATCACTCAGGATGTTTTTGTGTAGTCCCATCCATTGGCCTGCAAATTTCAAGATGTCATTGTTTTTTTTTTTCCACTTAGCAGTATTCCATTGTGTAAATGAACCACATTTTCTTCATTCTTCAGTTAAAGGGCACCTAGGTTGTTTCCAGGCAATTGTTCTGGCAATTACGAATAATGCTGCTATGAACATAGTTGAGCAAATGTCCTTTGGTATGGGTCTGCATCCTTTGGGTATATGATTGAGAGTGGTGTTGCTGGGTCTTGAGGTAGACTGATTCCCATTATTTTGGGAAACTTCCACTCCAACCAGCAATGAAGGAATATTCCCTTTACTCCACATCCTCTCCAGCATATGCTGTCATTAGTGCCTCTGATCTTAGCCATTCTGACTGGTGCAAGATGGTATCTCAAAGTTATTTTGATTTGCCTTTCCTTGATGGCTGAGGATGTTGAGCAGTTCCATAAGTGTCTTTCAGTCATTAGACCTTCCTCTGTTGATAATTCTCTATTTAGATCTATACCCCATTTTTATTTTTATTTTATTTTATTGTTTTTTGAGACAGGGTTTCTCTGTAGCTTTGGAGCCTGTCCTGAAATTAGCTCTTGTAGACCAGGCTGGCCTTGTACTCAGAGAGATCTGCCTCCCAAGTGCTGGGATTAAAGGCATGTGCCACCACAGACTGGTGAATCTATACCCCATTTTTAAATTGGATTATTTGATATTTTGATATATAGTTTATTGAGTTCTTTGAATGTTTTGAAGATCAGTCCTCTGTACAAAGTGGGGTTGGTGAAGTTTTTCCCCATTCCATAGGTAGCCATTTTATCTTGTTGACAATGCCCTTTGCCTTCTAGAAGCTTCTCAGTTCCAGGAGGTCCCATTAGTTAATTGTTGATTACAGTGTCTGTGCTACTGATGTTATATTCAGGAAGTAGTCTCCTGTGCCAATGCGTTCAAGTGTACTTCCCACTTTTTCTTCTATGAGGTTCAGCATGGCTGAATTTATGTTGAGGTCTTTGATCCATTTCAGCTTGAATTTTGTGCATAAGGATAGATATGGATCTATTTGCATTCTTCTACATGCCATCATCCAGTTATGACAGTACCATTTATTGACCATGCTTTCTTTTTTTCATTGTATAATTTTAGCTTCTTTGTCAAAAATCAGGTGTTTGTGGGTGTGTGATTAATAGCAGGCTCTTTGATTCAATTCCATTGGTCCTCCTGTCTGTTTTTGTGCCAATACCAAGCTGTTTTCATTGCTATAGCTCTATACTAGAGCTTGAAGTCAGAAACGGTGATGCCTCCAGAAGTTCTTTTCTTTTTTTTCTGCCTTTATTTCATCTTATCATTTTAAAAAAATAAACTATCTTTTTTCACTTTACATACCAATCCCAGTTCCCACTAACTCCCCTCCTCCCATACCCTCCACATTCCCCTCAACCCAACCCCCACCTACTCCTCAGAAAGGATAAGGCACATTGTTTTGGGGGAAGGTCCAAGGCCCTCCCTACTATAGCTAGGCTTTACAAGGTATAAATCCAAGAAGAATAGGTTCCCAAAAAGCCAGTACAAGCAGTAGGGATAATTCTGGTGCCACTGCCAGAAGCCCTGCAGTCTGCCCCCACCATAAAACAGTCACCCACATTCATAGGGTCTAGTTTGGTCTGATACTGGGTCCTTCCTTGTCTGGTTGGAGTTGGAGAGCTCCCATTATCTCAGGTAAACTGTTCCCATCATGGTCATGACCTCTTTGTTCATATCCCATTCCCTCAGGTTTTGCTCCCCTCCTCTTCCTCTTCCACTCTGCCTTCTCTCCCCATCCCCATGATCTTAATTTGTCAGGTTATCTTGTCTATTTCCCCTTTCTAGGTAGATCTATGTATGTTTTTCTTAGGGTTCACCTTGTTACTTAGCTTCCCTAGGATCATGAACTATAGGCTTGTTATACTTTGCTTTACAGTTAGTATCCATTTATCCGTGAATACATACCATGTTCATCTTTCTGGATTTGGGTTGCTTCAGGATGGTTTTTTCTAGTTTCATCCATTTGCATGCAAACTACAAGATGTCATTGTTTTTTACCATGGAGTAGTACTCCATTGTGTAA